TAAATTTTAAATCTCTTATATATTGAAAAAAATATGATTTGAAATTAAAATTTGTAATTTATTATAAACTCATTTAGAATTAATTTCATTGCATTTATTCTCCTTAATGAAATAAAGATATGAAAAAATTATTTTTATACAGGAAAAAAGTAATAAAAATTTTAAGAATTAAGTTAATTCTATGTAATATCAAATGAATCATTAATTTTTATAAATTTGTATGATTGGTCATAATTTAAAGATAATATTATATAATCAAATTTATATAAATTAATAGGAAATCAACTATCAAATTTAGATGACTTTACTTTTAATTTTTGATTTCTCAATAGATTATGGATTGATTTCTAATGATTTATCACATAATTAAATGGCTTATTCATATTGACCATTATATGATAAATCATAAACTATAAATAATTAAATAAAAATTACTTTTGTTTTTTAAAGTTACATCAGATTAAGGATTTATGGTAATTATTTTATCAAAACATTCAATAGCTAATTCATATTGGCCATATTGTATTAGGACATCAACTATCAAATTTAGATTAATTTATTTGATAAGTCATAAACTATAAATAATTAAATGAAAATTACTTTTGTTTTTTAAAGTTACATCAGATTAAGGATTTATGGTAATTATTTTATCAAAACATTCAATAGCTAATTCATATTGGCCATATTGTATTAGGACATCAACTATCAAATTTAGATTAATTTTACTTTTCATTTATATAATCTCAATAGATTATGGATTGATTTCTAATAATTTATCACATAATTAAATCGCTTATTCAAATTAATTTTAATGTTTTAAGTAATCAACTATTAAAATTAAAATTTAATTTACTTTTCATTTTTAAGATTTCATTAGATTATGGATTCATTTCCATAATTTTATCGCATTTTTAAATGACTTTTTAATAAATACCATGATATATTAAGCAATCAACTATTTAAATTTACATAAAATATACTTATGGTTTGTAAAGTATTAGAAGATTAAGGATTTATTGTAATTATTTTTTCAAAACATTCGACAACCTTTTCATATTGGCCATATTTTATTAGGACATCAACTATCAAATTTAGATTAATTTTACTTTTCATTTATATAATCTCAATAGATTATGGATTGATTTCTAATAATTTATCACATAATTAAATCGCTTATTCAAATTAATTTTAATGTTTTAAGTAATCAACTATTAAAATTAAAATTTAATTTACTTTTCATTTTTAAGATTTCATTAGATTATGGATTCATTTCCATAATTTTATCGCATTTTTAAATGACTTTTTAATAAATACCATGATATATTAAGCAATCAACTATTTAAATTTACATAAAATATACTTATGGTTTGTAAAGTATTAGAAGATTAAGGATTTATTGTAATTATTTTTTCAAAACATTCGACAACCTTTTCATATTGGCCATATTTTATTAGGACATCAACTATCAAATTTAGATTAATTTTACTTTTCATTTATATAATCTCAATAGATTATGGATTGATTTCTAATAATTTATCACATAATTAAATCGCTTATTCAAATTAATTTTAATGTTTTAAGTAATCAACTATTAAAATTAAAATTTAATTTACTTTTCATTTTTAAGATTTCATTAGATTATGGATTCATTTCCATAATTTTATCGCATTTTTAAATGACTTTTTAATAAATACCATGATATATTAAGCAATCAACTATTTAAATTTACATAAAATATACTTATGGTTTGTAAAGTATTAGAAGATTAAGGATTTATTGTAATTATTTTTTCAAAACATTCGACAACCTTTTCATATTGGCCATATTTTATTAGGACATCAACTATCAAATTTAGATTAATTTTACTTTTCATTTATATAATCTCAATAGATTATGGATTGATTTCTAATAATTTATCACATAATTAAATCGCTTATTCAAATTAATTTTAATGTTTTAAGTAATCAACTATTAAAATTAAAATTTAATTTACTTTTCATTTTTAAGATTTCATTAGATTATGGATTCATTTCCATAATTTTATCGCATTTTTAAATGACTTTTTAATAAATACCATGATATATTAAGCAATCAACTATTTAAATTTACATAAAATATACTTATGGTTTGTAAAGTATTAGAAGATTAAGGATTTATTGTAATTATTTTTTCAAAACATTCGACAACCTTTTCATATTGGCCATATTTTATTAGGACATCAACTATCAAATTTAGATTAATTTTACTTTTCATTTATATAATCTCAATAGATTATGGATTGATTTCTAATAATTTATCACATAATTAAATCGCTTATTCAAATTAATTTTAATGTTTTAAGTAATCAACTATTAAAATTAAAATTTAATTTACTTTTCATTTTTAAGATTTCATTAGATTATGGATTCATTTCCATAATTTTATCGCATTTTTAAATGACTTTTTAATAAATACCATGATATATTAAGCAATCAACTATTTAAATTTACATAAAATATACTTATGGTTTGTAAAGTATTAGAAGATTAAGGATTTATTGTAATTATTTTTTCAAAACATTCGACAACCTTTTCATATTGGCCATATTTTATTAGGACATCAACTATCAAATTTAGATTAATTTTACTTTTCATTTATATAATCTCAATAGATTATGGATTGATTTCTAATAATTTATCACATAATTAAATCGCTTATTCAAATTAATTTTAATGTTTTAAGTAATCAACTATTAAAATTAAAATTTAATTTACTTTTCATTTTTAAGATTTCATTAGATTATGGATTCATTTCCATAATTTTATCGCATTTTTAAATGACTTTTTAATAAATACCATGATATATTAAGCAATCAACTATTTAAATTTACATAAAATATACTTATGGTTTGTAAAGTATTAGAAGATTAAGGATTTATTGTAATTATTTTTTCAAAACATTCGACAACCTTTTCATATTGGCCATATTTTATTAGGACATCAACTATCAAATTTAGATTAATTTTACTTTTCATTTATATAATCTCAATAGATTATGGATTGATTTCTAATAATTTATCACATAATTAAATCGCTTATTCAAATTAATTTTAATGTTTTAAGTAATCAACTATTAAAATTAAAATTTAATTTACTTTTCATTTTTAAGATTTCATTAGATTATGGATTCATTTCCATAATTTTATCGCATTTTTAAATGACTTTTTAATAAATACCATGATATATTAAGCAATCAACTATTTAAATTTACATAAAATATACTTATGGTTTGTAAAGTATTAGAAGATTAAGGATTTATTGTAATTATTTTTTCAAAACATTCGACAACCTTTTCATATTGGCCATATTTTATTAGGACATCAACTATCAAATTTAGATTAATTTTACTTTTCATTTATATAATCTCAATAGATTATGGATTGCTTACTAATAAAATATCGCATAATTAAATGGCCCATTCATATTGAGCATTATTTGATAAATCCTAAACTATAAATATTTAAATTAAATTTACTTATTTATTGAAATAATTCATCTAATTAAGGAATGTTGGAATTGCATTAATAACAATAATATAAATCCAGGTAATGGTAACCAAATTAGTTTAATTAAAAAAGGGTATTAACTAATATTTCTCTCTTTATTGTATTTTTCATTTATTTAATCTTAATAGATTAAGGATAGATTTCTAATGATTTATCACATAATTAAATGGCTTATTCATATTCTTTATTATGTTTTAAGTAATCAACTATTAAAATTAAAATTTAATATACTTTTCATTTTTAAGATTTCAATAGATTATGGATTGATTTCCATAATTTTATCGCATTTTTAAATGACTTATTAATAAAGACCATGATATATTAAGCAACCAACTATTTAAATTAACATAAAATATACATATGGTTTTTAAAGTATCAGAAGATTAAGGATTTATTGTAATTATTTTTTCAAAACATTCGACAACCTTTTCATATTGGTCACCCTTCATTAGGACATCAACTATCAAATTTAGATTTACTTTACTTTTCATTTATAAGATCTCAATAGATTATGGATTGATTTCTAATAATTTATCACATAATTAAATCGCTTATTCAAATTAATTTTAATGTTTTAGGTAATCAACTATTTAAATTAAAATTTAATTTACTTTTCATTTTTAAGATTTCATTAGATTATGGATTGATTTCCATAATTTTATCGAATTTTTAAATGACTTATTAATATAGACCATGATATATTAAGCAACCAACTATTTAAATTTACATAAAATATACATATGGTTTTTAAAGTATCAGAAGATTAAGGATTTATTGTAATTATTTTTTCAAAACATTCGACAACCTTTTCATATTGGTCACCCTTCATTAGGACATCAACTATCAAATTTAGATTTACTTTACTTTTCATTTATAAGATCTCAATAGATTATGGATTAATTTCAAATGATTTGTTACATAATTAAATAGCTTATTCATATTGACCATTATTTGATAAGTCATAAACTATAAATAATTAAATGAAAATTACTTTTGTTTTTTAAAGTTACATCAGATTAAGGATTTATGGTAATTATTTTATCAAAACATTCAATAGCTAATTCATATTGGCCATTTTGTATTAGGACATCCACTATCAAATTTAGATTAATTTTACTTTTCATTTATATAATCTCAATTGATTTTGGATTGATTTCCAATAATTTATCATATAATTAAATAGCTTATTCAAATTAATTTTAATGTATTAGGTCATAAACTATAAATAATTAAATGAAAATTACTTTTGTTTTTTAAAGTTACATCAGATTAAGGATTTATGGTAATTATTTTATCAAAACATTCAATAACTTATTAATATTGGCCTTATTATATTAGGACATCAACTATCAAATTTAGATTAATTTTACTTTTCATTTATATAATCTCAATTGATTATGGATCGATTTCCAATAATTTGTTACATAATTAAATGGCTTATTCATATTGACCATTATTTGATAAGTCATAAACTATAAATAATTAAATTTAATTTACTTATGCTTTTAAAAGTATCAGCATTTTAAGGGTTAATAGTTATTATTTTATCAAAAAAATCAATAGCTAATTCATATTAGCCAAATTGTATTAATTAATCAACTATAATTTATAAAATTATATTTACACATGCTTTTTAAGGTATTAATAAATTAAGGATTTATAGAAATTATTTTATCAAATTATTCAATAGCTAATTCATATTGGCCATATTGTATTAATTAATCAACTATAATTATTTAAAGTAACTTACTTATTCTTTTTAAATTATAAATAAATTAAGGATTAATGGCAATTAATTGATCCAATAATTAAGGAACTTATTCATAATGACCATTTATAATTAAGCCATAAACTATAAATAATTAAATAAAAATTACTTTTGTTTTTTAAAGTTACATCAGATTAAGGATTTATGTTAATTATTTTATCAAAACATTCAATAAGTTATTAATATTGGCCTGATTTTATTAGGACATCAACTATCAAATTTAGATT